AAAGGAAAGGAAAGGAAAGGAAAGGAAAGGAAAGGAAAGGAAAGGAAGAAGATTGTGCCTTAAATGTCTTAAATAACATTCCTTTTTCATTAACTCATGTATCTTCTATAAATATATATCTTATGTTGGTCTTATTGGCTTTTCTCCATACATAAAGTGCAAGTTTGAAATGTAAAGTGAAAAATTATGGCTGATTCAGTTGTATTATTGTGTGGTAGATACTTTGAGACTGGGAGCATCTGGAAATAATTATCCTTATCTCTGCTATTGTTTTGTAAGTCATGTCTTAAAATGTATTCATCTGAAAGATTTGCAAACAAATTGTTGCAGCCTTGCTTATTTTTTCTATTAATCAACATTTATTTCTATACATTTAGTGAATTAATTGTTAGTAAATTATTCCTCTGGCAATTTGTAACATTTTTTTTAAACTGGTATGTTTTTTTTCTCCTTCTCTGATTTGCTTACCAGGATCTTTTGGGGAAAGATATTTTAGAATTCTGCCATCCAGAAGATCAAAGTCATTTAAGAGAAAGTTTCCAGCAGGTAACATTTTCTTCATTCATACGGTCTCTTTGTATTCTTCATCCCAATGTGAAATCAGGTATAAGATAATAATAGCAGGCAAGTATGTAATATAGCATAAATAATTATTTGTAATGTGAAAGAAACTTAATTTAACTTTGTTAATCTTGAGTTCATTAGTAAACCCACATTTACTGCATCTAGTTCTGCCCACCACAGTATACAAAAAATGTTGAGACTTTGGAAAGAGTGCAGAGAAGAACGACAAGAATGATCAAGGAGCTGGAGGCTAAAAGATACAAAGAATGGTTACAGGAATTGGCTCTGTCTAGTCTAATAAAAAGAAGGACTAGGGGAGATGCGATAGCAGTATTACAATATTTGAGGGGCTCCTACAAATATGTCAAACTATTTTCCAAAGCACCAAAAGGCAAAACAAGGAACGATAGATGGAAACTAACCAAGGAGAGAAGCAACCTAGAACTAAGGAGAAATTTCCTAATGCTGTGAGCAATCATCCAATGGAATAGTTTGCCTTTAGAAGTTGCGGATGTTCCATCACTGGAGGCTTTTAAGAAGAGACTTGACAACCACTTGTCTGAAACAATAAAGGGTCTTCTACTCAAGCAGTGGGTTGGACTAGAAGACCTCCAAGGTCCCTTCCAACTCCATTATTCTATGTTCTATTTATGCGCTGTGTGTTCATGCTGAATCCTAGAACTATATGGAAGCATAAAATTATATTCTCCAATGCTCCTCTAAGCTGTTCATTGCAATCAGAAATTCTGTTACAAATCATAATTTGAATGCTATCAATAAGGTCTTCTGTTTGTTTTGCATGTTAGAACTTCAAGTTCAGGTCTTTTTTAGTTGTAAAAATGTGTTCAATCCACCATCCCTAATTCATCTCATTCACCTTTCATCTCATGTTTAACAAAACCAAAGCTATTAAATGCCTGTAACTCCTGCAGCCCAAGCCAGTGAATGCTATTCTGCCAATTTCAACTCTGTTAAGCTGTCATATCATGCATTTGGAAAATCTCAATTGATGATTTATAGATATTGGATTATTTTAAAACTTTCTTACAACTGGTAGTAATAAATGTCTAGTTCCCCCCCCCCAAAAAAAAATTTTACTTAGCAAATAATTCAAATCAAAGAGCTAAAGAGCACGTGTAATCAATTCTACACTGAGCTCCATCTTTTCAGAGGAGAAATTGGAATTTGTGTCATGGTAAGACAAATAGATTTTGATTTATCCAGCATGCCTTTTGACAAATTGCTTTGGCCGGTTACCAGGCCCACATTCCAGCTGCTTTTCTTGCCACATTTAGCTGCAGGGTAGATTGCTTTGGTCCTTGCTTGAAACTCAGCACTTCCTTGTTTTCCTACTGAAAGGCTGAATGTTAATGGGTTAGCTGTTTGGGATGTGCACAATTTCCTTGAGTTTCCTCCAGCTTATAGTTATTCCATTGTGAAATAAGAAGAACAAGATTTTGGGAGGGCGGAGCTGGTGTCGCGACGATACGGCACGCGATCTTGGAGGTCTGAGATCGTTGCCGATATTTTTGCTCCTGGACGGTCCTATCAGAACTAAACCATCCCGAAGAGATGGTGAAAGTGAAGAGCACATCCTGTTGATCCCAGGGATACTGCAAAGTCCCTGGTAGATCCAGGAGAAGCTCTTCTTGCCAATGGCAAAGAGGCAGCCATTAAAGCTGCTGAAGTTGGGACAGCTCCGAAACGGAAGAGAGCAGAAAGAGAGAGTGTGCCGGTTTGCTGAGAACTTTTTTTTTTTTTTTAAGATCTGAAAGGACACCCTAAGGAAAAGAAAGAATCTGTAAAAGTTTTCAGAGAAGTGATTAAGCGGCGATTTTAAACAGGAATGTCAAAGTAATGTTTTGTTTTGTTTTTCTCATTGCTGGATTTTCTATATATGATCTTGTATTTTGAAACTGGACTTTTTTTTCATTTATATCTATTTTTTTCTTCTCCTTTTTGATTTTGTAATATTTTAGGCTAGAGGCTCCCTTTAGTTATTTCATTTTTTAAAAAAATATTTTCTTTTTTTATTATTATATCCTGCTCAGAAAAGGAGGGGGAAAGTGAGAGCAAAGAAACTTTGTAACACTGCCAACTAGAGGCTTGAAAATATTCTATTTCCCTGTGACCAGACAAAGCTGAGAAAGAAAGAACTGAGACTCTTTTTCAAGGACATTGCTATTTGATAAGATAGAGGGAAGAGCGTGGAAGATTATTATTGCAGGTGCTCTTCTGGGTTTCAATCAACAGCTGGAGTCTGGTGTTGAAATGTAGAGGGGGGAAAGGTGATAAGTTTTTGGAGAAGAGAGTTATAATAAGAGCCTTGGATAATCAAACAAAGTGCAGTGTGCCCTTTTTACTTTTCCTAAGTTGTGCTATCCCTCCTCACCAGCTTTATTGTATTTTTTTTATCTTTTTTTTGTAATAACTATTTGAGTTTTTTGGCTTTGTTGGAGCTTGTCTTTGTTTTTCTTTCTTTCTTTTTTTTGGGGGGGGGAGTCCAATCTCTACGTTTGCTTTTTATTTTAAAGGGAAACCCTTAAAAGCCTTTTTTTTCCCCTTTCCTGGTATTTTTGTTTTTTCATCTACCTTTCTGGTTTATTTTTATGCAATTTTTTCTATTTGAGACCTCTCAATTGGATTAAGGTGTTGAAGAACCTAAAGAATTTTTCCTTTTCCTTTTTTTTCTTAAGTCTTTTTCTTTATCTAACTATTGATTGGATTAAGGTATACAAGAACCTGAAGAAATTTTGTCCTCCCTTTTTTTTCTTTTTTTAAAATTATTATTGGGCTTCTTTTTTTTACTATTTTTATTTTGAACTATAATTGGTTACCTCACAATTGGATTAAGGTTTAGAAGAACCTGAAGATTTTGAATTGCTTAAAATGAGTAGGAAATTTATAGCTCCTGGTTCTTCAACTTCTACTTCTTCCTCTCCACCATCTGGAGGACAACGTTCAATACAGACAATGTTAAAGCAAGAAAAAGAACAAGAAAAAGTGACTCTGCAGATGATTATGCAAGGAATTCAAAATATTCAAGCAAGATCAGAGAATATTGAAAAGAGAATAGAGAACATTGAACAAAGAACAGAGAACAGTGAACAGTGTACAAAGAACAGGGAAAACTGATGAAAAAGTGGAGAACATCCAACAAATGATGTTGAAGTACAATGAGAGATTCCAAAAAATTGAAGAAGAAGATGAACAAAGAGACAAGAAGATTGGAGATATTGATAATAGATTAATGGTAGTTGAACAAGATAAAAGTAGTATGTTGAGATGGGAGATGGATAGATCAGAATTCTATCTTAGATTCCAAAATGTAGAGGAAGAAAAAGGACAAAACCTAGCTGAGATAATGATAGAAATACTGGCTGAAGCTTTGGAAATAACTCAAGAGAAGATGATGGATGGAATAGATGAGGTTTATCGAGTTTTCACAAGATATGCAATGAGAAATAGCTTACCCAGAGAAGTTCACATTAGATTTACAAAGAAAGCCATTAAAATGCAAATATTGCAAGTGGCAAAAGAGAAAACATTGAAATACAAAGACAAGGAGATTGTGGTCTTGAAACAAATACCCAGAAGAGTGAGAGAGATGAGAAGAGAATACCAATTCCTGACTAAAATGCTACTTAAAAAAGAGGTGAATTATAGATGGCTGATTCCAGAAGGTTTAATGTTCACGTGGCAAGAACAGAGACATAGAATTGACTCAATTGAGAAAGCTGAATTATTTTATACAGAATTTTTTGGAAGGAAAGAGGAAGAGGCAGAAAAAGAGATCTCACTAATTGAATTCCAAGAGGACTGCCAAATGGCGACTGAAAAAGAAGAAGGCGCAATAGGTGGAAAGGTGGAAGCCAAAGAACGTGAACGTGAAGATCTACGAGAGCTGCTAAACTTAACTATAAAATATAACCATGGAAGAGAAAAAATTGATTACAATTAATATAAATGGACTTAACTCAGCCATTAAAAGAAGGAAAACCTTCCATAAATTAGAGAAATTAAAATTTGATATAATTTGTCTACAAGGAGTACATATTAAAAACAATATGAACAATTGTTGGTACAGCCAAAATTAGGGAAAATATTTACTTCCTTGACCCAATGTAAGAAAAGAGGAGTGGTTTTATATATTAAAGAGACCACCCCAGCAAACTTGATCTATACTGATGATGATGGAAGAATACTAATGGTGGAAATAATGGACAATAATATGAAAACACTCCTGATTGCAATTTATTCTCCGAATGACAAGAAGAATTCTACAAAAAATTACATACGAAAATAATTGAACTGGACTATGCTAATATAGTTATGATGGGAGATATTAATGGAATTGTAGACAATAAATTGGACTATACAGCACAGAAAACAATAAAGCAAAACAGAAAGACTTTCCCAAAATCCTTTTTTAAAATGGTTGATGAATTAAATTTAAAAGATACATGGAGAGAAAGAAATGCTAAAACTAAACAATACACCTTCTATTCAAATAGACACTTATCATGGTCCAGAATAGATATGATTGAATGTCAACAGAAATAATATCTAACATTCAAGAAATAAATATTGAAACAAATACTTGGACAGATCACAATCCAATGACAATTAAATGGAAAGGACAAAAAAGAAGATCTAAATGGATGTTAAATAATACTATTTTAAAGGAAAAAGACTTCACACAGTGGATGGAGAAAGAATTGGCTTTTTTCTTTAGAGAAAACAAAAAAGAAGATACATCAATTCAGAATGTATGGGATACAATGAAGGCATATGTTAGAGGCTTGATAATAGACTATACAAGGAAAAGAAATACCATGAAAAGATTAGCCTCTAAGGCCCTAGAAGATGAGCATAAAAGACTTGAAAAGGAGCTACAGAAAATGCCACAGAAAAAGGACATCAAGCTAAAAATGGGTATAATTAAACACAAAATGGGTCAAATAGAAAAAGAAGAATTAGCACAGAAAATTAGAGATGCTAAACAGAACTACTTTGAAGACGCAAACAAACCAGGTAGATGGTTAGCATACAAATTGAGAAAGGAGAAAGAATCAAGGAAAATATTGCAATTAATAGATGACCAAGGCCAAGTTTGCCATGGTAGCAAAGAGAAGAAGGAAATCATTCGAGACTTCTATGGGAAATTATATATGCAAGAGAATATTGATGAGCAAAGAGTTAAGCAGTACTTACAGAATGCTAATTTACCTCAGATACTTAAAGAGACTGAAAAAATGTTAGAAAGCAATATAACGATGATGGAGCTAACTGAAGCACTCAAGAAGCAAAATAATGGAAAGGCACCAGGTCTAGATGGACTTCTGGCAGAATTTTATAAAACATTACAAGAATCTTCCATTGCTAGAAGTTATGAGTTATGAATTATGTTAAAGAAGAAGATACCTAAATCATGGTCAGAAGCCTATATTACACATTCCAAAAGAGGAGGCCCACCCATTACAAATTAAGAACCATAGACCCATTTCTCTACTAAATGCAGATTATAAAATCTTTGCTTCAATATTGGCAGAAAGACTTAAAAAATATTTAAATAATTTTATCCATCCTGATCAAAATGGATTTCTGCAAAGAGACAAATTAAAGACAATATGAGAGTAATCTTGGACACCTTGGAATACTACGAGGCACATCCTGAAAAACAAATGGCTCTGATATTTTTAGATGCACAGAAGGCATTTGATAATGTGAATTGGCGATTCATGTTATTACTGTTGGAACAGATGGGTTTTGCTAGAAAGTTTATTCAAGCAATAGAAGCTATATACTATAAGCAAACGGCAAAGGTAATGATAGAGGGAGAACTGACAGACTCTATTAATATAAGAAAAGGAACAAGACAAGGGTGCCCACTATCACCTTTGTTGTTTGTGTTAACTTTGGAAGTGTTAAACAGAAATATTTGAGATGAAAAGAATATAAAAGGAATGAAAATCAAAAAGGAAGAATTTAAGCTGCAAGCATTTGCGGATGATCTGGTTTTCATTTTAGAAGACCCTTTAGAAACAGCATCAAAATTGATAGAAAAGTTAGAGACCTATGGAAAGGTGGCTGGTTTGAAAATAAATAAAGATAAGACAAAGATTTTGACAAAGAATATGCTATTAAGACAAAACAAAGAACTGGCAGATCTATTGAAAATTCAGGTCACGAATAAGATCAAGTACTTGGGGATATATTTGACAGTAAGACGTAGTACATTAAAAGAGAATAATTATATTAAACTTAAACAGCAGATAGCTCTAGATTTGGAGAAATGAGAAAACTTACAACTGTCACTAATAGGGAGAATTTCAACAATCAAGTTGAATATATTACCCAGAATTTTATATTTGTTTCAAACAATTCCAATTAGGCTTGGAAAAGACTACTTTGAAGATTTAAATAAAATTGTGTTGAAATATATATGGCAAGGTAAGAAAGCGAGAATAAAGTTAAAACTTTTGCAAGATGCTAGAATTAGAGGAGGATTTGGTTTGCCTAATTGGGAGTTGTACTACCAAGCTACAAATTTGATGTGGGTTAAGGATAACACTAAGAAATACTAGATTGTTGACATTAGAAGGACATGATTTGTTGTTGGGGTGGCATGCTTTTTTATGGTACAAAGGAACTAAAACACAGGGCTTAGAAGACATTATATACGGGAGTCTCTGTGGTTAAACTGGGAAAAGATTAAAAGACAATGTTATTTGAAAATTCCAGTTTGGTTATCGACTATTGAAGCATTCTCTTATCCTATAATATACAAAAAGGAACAAACAGTTAGATATGGTGAAATATTGAATGAAAAGGATGAACTTAAATCTATGCAAAAACTAGAGGAACAAGGTATAAAGATGAATTGGTTCTCATATGCGCAAATATATTCAAGGTATGATAAAGATTCTAAAACAGAAGGTTTCTATGATAAACTGACTGACTTAGATAAGATTTTGACAGGTACTGATGAAAAGGTGATTAAAAAATTGTATGGATATTTATTCGAAATTAAACTAGAAGAAGAAGTTAAAGAAACTATTGATTGCTTGGGGGAAGAATTTTGGATATGGGATTGATTTAGAGAAATGGCAAACATTGTGGTCTCAAAATTATAAAATGCCAATGTCAACAGCATATAAAGAAAATTTGTATAAGATGTTTTACAGGTGGCATTTTCCCCTGACAAGAATAGCAAGAATGTTCAAGAATAAATCTGAAAAATGTTGGAAATGTCATCAGACACGTGGCTCATATTACTATATGTGGTGGACTTGTGCAGATGTTAAAAAATACTGGACTAAAATCCACATGTGGTTGGAAAAAATGACAGAAAAACATATAGACTTGAAACCAGAGATATTTTTATTGGGAATTTTACCAGAAATATATAGTAAAGACTTGAAATATCTGGTTGTAAATGTATTAACAGCAGCTAGGATTGTATTTGCTAAAAACTGGAAAAATGAGAAAATACCATCACAGGAGGAAATCATTAAGAAAATAATGGAATGTGCTGAAATGAGTAGATTGACATTTGAAATTAGAGAACAAGAGGATAAACAATTTTATAAAATTTGGGATCTTTTCTATCAATGGTTAGACAATAAAGTACAGTAATGAAATATGTAGACTTTTAGAAAATAATAAATATATAAAGATGTGTTCTTTTCTTATATCTACAAAATGATTTTAGGATAGATTTGGGATAACAATATGAACTGTTATAAAACAAACTTAGTAAATTATGGTTATCTTGTAAAACATGAATGAATAAAAGTATAGTCAAATGATTGATTAATAATGATACTAAGGTATTTAATTTTTGATTGACAATATGAGATTATATGTAATGTAATTGTAATTAAAGACTATGAAATGGAAGCACAAAACAATTTGTAAACCAACCGGCACTGTACTGTACTGTGGGTGTACTGTATGTACACCTATGGAAGATAACTTTATGTTTTTATGTTTTGTTTGTTTATGTTTGTTTTTAAAAACCAATAAAATTTAAAAAAGAAAAACAAGATTCTGTAGTGACACAGCATATTTACAATATTTGCTGGCAAAAGAAGAGATTACACACTTGCTGTTCAAATAAATACTACTACAGGTAGTGCTTGACTTTAAGCCACAATTGACTTCAAAATTTCTTTATGTGACCTTCTTAAAAGTCACATATAAGGACAAAAGCAGCTCACCTCATCAGCTGAGGGTCTTCCTGTTTAAGCTTTTGAAGATGGTTTATTTTGCTGTTCTGTAAAACAGTTCTGTTCTGTATTTTGCTGTTCTGTAAAACTTCCCTTTGGACTGGAAGGTGATATCATTTTCCTTGATCTTTACAATGGTTCTGCAGGTGGTGAAGCTGAAGGGCCAGGTGCTCTCTGTGATGTATCGCTTTCGTACCAAGAACCGGGAATGGATGTTAATTAGGACTAGCAGCTTCACATTTCAGAACCCGTATTCGGATGAGATTGAGTATATCATCTGCACCAACACAAACGTCAAGTACGTCCTATAAACGCTAAAGGATGTCTTCCTTTCTCGAATGCAGTTTTATTTTAGAACTATGAAACTATGTGATCGGGCTTCGTTTTTTGGGAGGAAAATAAGGGGGAAAAAATTGTGCCTCTGCCTACCAGCATCCATTTGTATTCATCTGGCTAGTGTCCTGTCAGTGTGTGAGAGAGTTGAGGGCTTTTTGGAAACTGAAACAGTATTTGCTGTGTGAGCAAGAAGGAGACAGCAAGGAGCCTGCACGTGGCTTAGCTCAAGTGTTCTGTACTAAAGCTGCTTGGTGCTCTGAAACTGAAACTCCTCTGCTTGTGTTTTGCATTTGGAACAGGTTTTTTTTTTCAGATGGGGTGGGGGAGTAGAACTCCTTAGTATCAGAGCGTGTTAATAATAATATACAAAATACTAATGCTCTGATGGTCATTTCGAAAAATCCTTCCTTAGTGAGCACCTAGAAGAGCACCAAGAGGAACATATGTGTCATCTTTCAAGTTTGTAAGCTTTACGGTTCTGGAGATTTTGTGATGATGCGTGAGTCGTGTTTCGCTTTTATATTTATATTTATATTTTTATATTTTATATATATATATATATATATATATATATGAATTGTGTTTCCAGATTACCTTTCTCTCTCTCTCTCTCTCTCTCTCTCTCTCTCTCTCTCTCTCTCTCTTTGTGTGTGTCTGTGTGTGTCTGTGTTTTGAGCAACCTTGGGCCAGTCAGGATCAAACTGCTGGCAGTCAGCAGAATTAGCCTGCAATGCTGTATTCTAGTCACTGCGGCACCACTGCTCTTCAACAAATAAATAGGACCTTGTTTGAACTCTCAATTTTATTGGACAGCAATCTCGTGACCCACAAGGAACAGGATTTCCTTGGGGTTGCCCCTATACAATAAAAATTACTTCAAATGGAAATGACTAATCAAAGTCATATATTTCATCACTTTGAAGGTAGATGGCTAAGCCTTGTGGTTTTCTCTTCTCCATTTCTCCTATTGCTCATTCATTTCACTTTGTTTTTTCACCATGTTTGAGGACCTGCAGTTAGAACAACATGGACACTTTCCAAAATGCTGTTCTAATGTTTTGTTGATATGATTGGTAGATTATCTTGGAATTGACTTGGATCCAAAGAGAAACAAAAACCTGGATAATAAATAAATGTCTATTCTGCATGGTCAGATGGTAGAAGCAGGAGGATCTATAGCACATAAACAAACTTCTGTTCAGCCAGAAGTCTTTAGGCCAACCTAAAAATAAAAAAGTCATTATCTGGACCAATAAATTACTTATGTTGACACTGAGCAAGGAATTTTCCCTTTCAAGGTTGCACTTGAAAATAAATTGAATGTGTTATCCTTCTTTGGATTCTGTCATATTTATCCCCAGTTGACTTAGCAAAAGAAGGCATCCTTCCCTAATATGGGGGTAGGCTGCTATGGGCTAATGCATTACTGTTGCTCTTTTCTAAGGGAGCCATACATTGTGAGAGAGAGCCTTTTTAACTAGCTTTAAGAAAGTTGCAGTACACCTGTAGCATTTTAAATAACTGAAGGAGCTAGAGATACAGTTTGGGGGAGGGGGGTTAATAAAATTTTATTGAGTTTTAACAAAACAAATAAAACATTTTATTTGAGTACAGCATGGTTGCGGGTTATCACATTTCCATACAGACACAATTTCATATGCATATTCATCTTATGTATTCAACTTCATATCTTATTATTCTTTTTCCAACTTCTCACTATTTCTCCCTTTATTTCTCTTAATTTTCTTTTATGATTATCTCATTTTCTTCTTATTCAATTGTATATCTTTTACTTAAATTTTTATATCTTTTTATTCATTGTACTTTTGTGTGTCTTGTTTACAATTTCATATGTTCTTTTCCAACATTCTTAAGAAGCAAAATTCCCCCTATGATTGCCAATCAAAGTGCAACACCTTTAAATCTTATTGTTGTTATCATATGAATTCTCATTAAACATTGAATTCTAAAATTATAACATTCAAATCTCTAATATCTATTTTGTATCATGTAAATCTCATCATTCATACTCTGCTTGGTACTTCCCCTTGAAAATGTAAAAAGAAAAATTCTAAAAACATTAGCAAAAACAATATATATGTGTGTGTGTGTGTGTGTGTGTGTATACATAAACATTAGTAAACAAAATAGTTATTCAAAATCATTCTAGTACTGGTATGAACCTTGTAAATCTTTCACATTTCTTTTCAATATCTATCAATCTTTGAGAACAATTGAAATGTTTCCCTCCCTTCTTCATTATTACTTAACTGTTAATAAGCTTTCCATTGGATAGTTATACAGTTTTATCTTATAAATTATTTACTATTAATAAGCAAAATAATTATTCAAATTCATTCTAATAACTGGTACAAATTTCCTTATAAATCTTTCACATTTCTTTTCAATATTTTATCAATCTTTAGAAACAATTGCAATGTTTCCCTATCTTCTTTATTATTGCATTAATTATAAATAAACATACCATTACATAACAATACAGTTTTATTTCATAGATTATTTACTTATTTCAATTCTAACTCATTACAGTATTCTACTGTCACAACACTATCTTTTGTACCTTTGCAGAATCCTCACTTTTAACTTAATTTAACCATTGTCTCTGTGTTTTCTAGCTGAGTAAATACCTTTAATCCTAGTACGTTTCCCCTTCTTCTTTATTTCTTGTTTTTGTCCCTCATAAGTTCTTTCCCTTTCTATCTTTCCCCCCTTTTTGTCATCCCTTCTTTATACCCTTCTCTCTCTAATTTTCCCTTCTGTAGTTTTCTTTTCTGCTTCTCCTTGCTGTTATACTTCTTTTTCAGACTATTTTTCTTTTTGGCTGTTCCCTTTGATCTCAAACTTTTAACTCCTTTCCCCCTTATTACCACACTTTGCATTATTTGATCATTGAAAATGGTTTCTTCTTTGTCCCGCCCTTCTTCTTGCTCTTGAAGCTTTTCCTTTTCCTTTTCATAGTTCAGGATCTCCATTTCAAAAAATTCAAATACGAAACCAAAGGATCTTCCTTCCCTTTCTGCATCTTCTTTCGGTTTTTTAAGACTCATCTTCAATTCTGCCAGGAGTGATGGCATTTTAAACACTTTTGAACAACCACCGGATTGACTTTAAGTAAAAACAGAAAAAGAAAAAAAAAGCCAATGGCAAAAACTTTTTTTTTAAATCACCAAATGATCCCTGACTGTTCCTTCTTGTTTCTTTCTTTTACTTTTCCTTTCCGTGGGTCACTGTATCTTTTAACAAGATTTCAGTTACAATGTATCCTCGGGAGTCTTTTCAAAGTTCCACTGTTAATCCTCTTTATTTTTCCAGGTGGCACTCCATTTTTCCATTATTCCAAGTCCCACCCTTTTGCCTCCACTCTTCTCCTATTTAAGGCTTTAAAATGACCAAATCTTTATTCTCCTTTTGACACTTAGATTTCAGCTTAAGGTTGCCTTTTAGTGTCAAAATAGATTAATATAAATTTCTTTCCATACCATTTGTAATTGTCAATATAAAGGTTAAAAAAGGGTTTTTAACCTCCTTTTCTCTCTCCTTCGTCACTTAAAGATCTTCTTTCAGAAGTATCCCTCTAGATACTTTTAGATTCAGGGTACCTTGTTTAGATGTTCTCTGTTGTTTAGCCCGGTCTGTCCTGCTTTCCTCTTTGTCTTCCTCCATTGGGTCAGAAATGCAGTGAATGTAGGATTTCAATGGCATTTGTGTGTATAACAAATTAATTTCCTGCATTGGCTGAAAGGTCAAAAGTTCCACTGAACTTCCTGTTTAGTCTTCAAGGCGTGATCCATCTCAACAGAATGAATGCTTGTGTGATCTCAGTCAGACCCATTGACTATATAATGTTGATACACATGTATGTGTATTCACTGATTGATTCATTAATTTAAAAAAAAAAACCCGATGAAGGAACAATTGGAACATTTTAAAAAGATTGTTCCATTAACTGGAAAGTGTATGTTGGCATCTTCCTAATATTATTTTTAAAATCCGCAATACCTGTGAACATGTAATAAGGAAGTTCTTCCCAAATAGCAATCGCATTTAAGACGTATATACCGCTTCACAGGGCTTTACAGCCCTATCTAAGTGGTTTGCAGAGTCAGCCTCTTGCCCCCAACAATCTGGGTCCTCATTTTACCCATCTCAAAAGGATAGAAGACTGAGCCAACCTTAAGCCAGTCAGAATCGAACTGCTGGCATTCGGCAGAGTTAGCCTGCAATGCTGCATTGTAACCACTGCACCACCATGGCTCTTCCTTCTTTCCTTCACCCACCTTCCTTCCTTCCTTCCTTCCTTCCTTCCTTCCTTCCTTCCTTCCTTCCTTCCTTCCTTCCCATTTAGCAATAGCAGTTAGACTTATATACCACTTCACGGTGCTTTACAGCCCTCTCTAAGCGGTTTATAGAGTTAGCCTCTTGCCCCCAGCAATCTGGATCCCCATTTTACCAACTTCAGAAGGATGGAAGGCTGAGTCAACCTTGAGCCGGTCAGGATTAAATTCCAGACTATGGGCAGAGTTAGCTTGCAATAATGCATTCTAACCGCTGCACCACCATGATCAAATAGTTGGATCATAATTCCATGGTAGGCATGATAACTCTGGCTGATAAAAGTTAGACAGTGCATTTCAGACTGGAGAGGGTCATTGTGGTACTTTCCTGTTTTGGAAGGCTGGAGAAGGCATTCATTCAAGAAGTTGACTTTGTGTTTGTGCAATTTTCAGCCTGATCTAGACATGTTGTGGAAAAGAGGGGGGAAAGCCAGACTATGCCATATTGATCTCCTTGGATATATGAATGATAAAATGTTTTTTTCAGAGTTGCCTTAGCCATCTGATTAACTAATCAATTATAAATTGAAACTCACAAAATTAATTGCCTGTGATTAGATACACATAAAGTATATAAGCTATTGCTGTGATTCTCTCAAAGCCCCTGATGCTGAATCCCTGCCCTGCATTTAAATGACTTACAGAGGCAGTTTGGATGGATTTCAACATCTCTTTACAGGATCGGATGTGTCCATTTTCTGTGAAGTGGCTACAGATGTGATCTCATAACTTTTTCTTTGAAGTTTTACTAATTGGATTGTGATCTGTAGGCTTTGTTTCCTCTGTTCGCCTTAAGCTTGATGAGGCTTTAGAATGACTTGGTTGGCATCTTGGGTTTTAGACTGGCAAATTGGCAGGACAACACAAGTCTTCCCCAAAACAATCTCAAAGGAATTTATTACCACTGGTCTTCTCATTTCCTTTCAGGCAGCTTCAGCAGCAACAAGCTGAGTTGGAAGTACACCAGAGAGATGGACTTTCCTCCTATGACTTAACTCAGGTGAGAGGTCCCTGCTGAACTGACCTTGGGTTCTTTAAAATAATCCATAGCTAAACCAAGCAATGTATCACCAGGAGATTTGTCAATAGCTTTAAAAGAAAGCCAGATTAATTAACTGAAGAGATGACTTTTTGTGATTTCACACACCTTCAGTATGATCTGGAGAAGTTCGTTAGCTTCTTTAATATTCATAGTGGCCCAGAATGCTGGACTAGATGACTCCTGATCCTTCTGTGCTTTTTCCCTGTTTTTGTGTCGGATGCCATCTTCTCCCAGGAAAGGGACAAAAACAAAGGCATATTCCCAGTTTTCCTGTGAAGTTCTACTTTGTTTTCACTCTGCATTTCTTGTGGGATTTAAGGTGCTGTATAAAAACACCACTGATCACAGCCTGTGTTTTTCTTCTCTTCCTCCTTCCGTCACTTATTTCCATCCCAAATTGTCAATAAGAGAACTCCTGCAGAATATCCTCTCAAAATTCTGCAGAATCTTTCTACCTAGAAGCACCTCAAGATGAGTGAATGTGAGAATGCTTCTGATATCTTGTGTTTGCCTTCTGCAACTGTTCACTTGGTGTCTCTCACACATGTGAATTGCAGGCCATTTTAACTGGATCCATACCATTCAAGCAACAGCTTCATTACTGTTGCAAACTACCAAGCCAGCATGCTTATGATCCAAGGGATAATAAGAGCAGTACAAAAATAAAACATGTCTATTGCAGAAAGCAAATTGGGGTACAAGGACTTGTTTCTAACTAAATTGGGTGGAAATTTAGCCATCAAAGAAATTGTGGTTTCCTCCTCTCTGCCTGTTGTAATTAGGTGCCAGTTCCGAGTATACAGTCTAATGTTCATGAGGGGGGGAAAGCAGTGGAAAAACCGGACACCATCTTCACCCAGGAAAGAGATCCAAGATTTGCGGAGATGTTTGCTGGCATAACTGCTTGTAAGTAAAATAAGTTCTCTAAGTTTCATCTTCAGTAGAAATTAAGTTTATTGTTACTTTGGATTCTCAGCTGATATCCCATCAAGAGACACTAAAGCCCACGTTCTGTTTCAGTGGAAAACACATAACGGGGGGAAAGGAGACATTCAAAGCCAAGTTGAATTCTTCTAAGTCAACTCCTTGCCTGTGGATTTGGGAGACAATGGATTGCACTTGGAGAGTCTTAACACTCTCACAAAATGGCAATGTTAGAAGGTATCTCCTATTAGTATAAGCATTAGATTCTCCCATGCTGTGTAGATATCAAGCAATGAGTATTTTCAGTTTGGGGCGAATACTTCAGCATTTTCCCTTGTGACTTTTAAGGTCTACGAATGTTCTTTGCCATGTATTTCAAGGGCATCTGCTTGATTGTTTGGCATCAAGGGAGTCCATCTCATTGCCATTATTTGATTATAGAGCCCTGGTGACGCAGTGGTCAGAATGCAGGCTAATTCTGCTGACTGCCAGCAGTTCAATCCAGACCAGCTCAAGGTTGACTCAGCCTTCCATCCTTCTGAGGTCAGTAAAATGAAGACCCGGATTGTTGGAGGTAATATGCTGACTCTGTAAACCACTTAGAGAGAGCTGTAAAGCACTGTGAAGCAGTAAAGAAGTCTAAGTGCTATTTCTATTTATCCATACATTGCATGTTGGAGTCTTCTGCATGCGACAATTATATGTAACTTTCAGAAGAAACTCCTTGGGAACATTTCTTCATTAGTAACATGGTCAAAATAGCAATATTTTAGGATTCCTTTGTTGGAAGATATCAAGTCTTCTCCAATTAGGATAAATAAATTTTTTAAAAAGCCGTACTTAGCCCTTACAAAAAGGAGTAAATTTGCTCAGCAAACAACCCAATCTTCAGGATGGTTGTAAAGACATGCCTTTGAGGCTAAGTCTTACAGCTGAATTGGCTGCCTATTCTTTTATTTTCAACCTATTCTATTCTTAGCAGTGGATGTAAGAGTTGACTTCTCTCCAGTTCCCAATTCATTGCTACATATTTAATGGAAAAACCTTGATTTCTTTGTAGGGAAAGGGCTTGGATTCAAAACAGTCCTTTCAGTTGTATGTTTTTGCTATTTAAGGGAACAACAAAAAAAAATAGATACTTGCAACTCTAATAACTGTTGTCAGCTGATAGCTGGGCATGAGTAGAAAATCAATAAATCAACCTAGCTTTTTCCAGAGAAGGGACAGAAATCTTGTTGTTGTTTTTTTCAGAAGTATTTTAGGATTATTTTTATTGTGATTTTTCCCTCTGTTTATTGTTCCTAACCCTCCCTGCTGCTGATGAAGTTTTAACATTTGTTATTAATTAATCACCATGTAAGGCGTTCTTAGCCAAGGCAGAAGCATCTCCCTGTTTGTAACAAAGGGTCACTGGGAGACAGCAGCACAGCTGGGTCTCCTTCTTTCGAGATGCAGTCGTCTTTCTTCCATCCATCATGGAAAATGCTTTTTTAACTGTTATTGCTCCCTGAAGTTGGTTATTTCCAGTGACAAGAATAGCCCTGGATCACTGGGTGAACTTCTAGGAACTTGCAAATTGAACGATCCCCCGCTTATTTATAATTTCACACCTCTTTATTTCTCTAAGCAAAATACAACGGATATTTATGTTATTTATGTATGCATTTATTTATTCTACTTCTATAACTACCAAAACTGAATCAACTCCCGAAAGCTGCAATCAATAAAACATAGTGCACATCATCAAAATAATAAAATTATTTTACTGTTAGAAGAAGAAGAAAATGAATTTCAATCCATACAGGGTAACATCCCTCAGTCATGATTTTTTTCCCCTGGAATAGCTTGATTTTCACTAATTTCCAGAAGAATTACACAAAGGTGTTATCTAAATGCAAGATAGAATAATCCAAAGTATAGGATCTGCTACTGAAATACAATTTCTGTCGATTGTTGTCCCTTCACCTTGGAGCCATGTGGACTACCCTAGATTTTGATGTATATTTGGTGGTTAGAGCCATGGTGATGCAGTGCTTAGAATGCAGTATTGCAGGCTAACTCAGACTGTCAGTTCAATCCTGACCGAGTCAAGGTTGACTCAGCCTTCCATCCTTCCGAGATAGGTAAAATGAGGAGCCAGATTGTTGGGGGCAACTATTCTGACTCTGTAAACTGCTTATAGAGGGCTGTAAAGCACTATGAAGTGGTATATAAGTAAGTGCTATTGCTGTTGCTCTTTGAGGTAGTCATTCCAGGTGGAGAAGATGGCTATCCTTATAACTCTCCTCAAAGTAACCTCCAATGGATCTCATTTGTCAGAGAAACAGAAGTGCTTAAGAAGATGGCCATGGCATTTAATCTCTCATTGTCTGTTTACCCTACCTGGATCATATGTCATCTAAGCAAGTCTCAACAGGTTAACAGGATAAGCAGCAATAAACATGAAACAAAATTAGGAAATTCAACAATAATCAACACTCAATCACTATGACTGGACACCAATAATGGTGAAATGACTTTTTGAAGGTCTTCTAAAAAACATGGATGGTGGAGCTTTATAAATCTCTGGAAGTAAAGAGTCCCATAGTGTGGGATACTACAAGGAATCTTTAAAAGGCTTTCCTGAAATGTTTTCACTAGGAACCAGATTTAGTTCTGTCAAAGGAAAAAATATATTTCTTCCATGTTATTTTTGAAGGTGAATTCCTACATTCTAGTTCAAAATTGATCCAGATCAGAGGTGGTATTCAACAGATTCTGACCAGTTTTGGACAACCGGTAGTGGAAATTTTGAGTAGTTCAGAGAACCAGCAAATGCCACCTCTGATTGGCCCCGCCCCCACCTCTTCTCTGCCTTCCATTGAGTCCCAGCTGATCGGCTGGGTCTCCTTTGGTTGCCCTGAACAGGAGAACGGAACTGGAAAACAGGTTAGTGGGGCTGGGAGGGAATGGGGATTTGCAATATCCTTCCCCTGCCATGCCCAACAAACCACACCCACAGAACAGGTTAAAAAATGTGAATCCCACCGCTGGTCCAGATAGTGCACAAATCAAAAAGCACTACTTTAATAAGGTTCTTTCAATCCAGTTCTGTGTCCTTGGAATCAAGGTGAAGATTGTAGTATGGCTACAAGGAAAAAATGAGGACATTAGAAGAAGTAGACCAATCTTTCTTTTCTATAGACTATTGCTTGGCAGAGAGAGGGTGAGAAAGAAAAGGAGGATATTAGAAAAAAAAATTGGGTGGCTCCTACCAGTATTGAGGTTAAGATGTGTTCACCATGTAACTCCCAAGAGACGATGCCAAGGGAATGCAACCTGTGTTTTTGATCAGGGCATCCTGGTCTGCCCAAATATGGGACAGAGCATACTGCTTTTGCTTTCGCCTTTCAGCCCCAATCCAGAAGCCTTTGTAGGCAGTCGCTTTCGCAACAAACTTTTTAAATTTTAACTTCAACTGGGGGGAAGGGGGAATTCCTTGCACTTGCTTCAAGCCATAAAGGAACCATTTTTGACGTAGGATGCAGTTAAAAAAGGAATTGAGGCAAACTACTCATTACTTTTACGTATTTTGCATAATGTTGATTTTGGATTGACTTTTTCTGAGCCAGTGCGTGCAAACAGCTGGAGCTTGCACAGAGAGACCTATCATGCTAGGGACATTTGCTTTGCAGCCGTCAAGCACGTATCTTAGCAGGGGAGGGGAGGAATGAAAATATCCCTCATTGCTCCAACCATGTGTTTATAAGCAACAGATCCTGTAAAAATATCTCCCCCCCCCCCCAAAAAAAAAAAAAAAAAATACAGTGCAGGATGAAACTTTACTGCATCTCCTAAGTCAGATATAACTCACGTCTCCTTTATCCCTGGCCAAAAAAATAGAAACAAATATCTAAATATCAGAAAATCAGATGTGTTAGAAGGCTTTTTTTGCTTGGCAAACCTGGCTTCTTGGCTTTGGTGCTCTGAGCAGAGACATTCAAATGATGCTGTACAGTCTCTCTGTCTAATTTGTCACTGATTTCTCAACATTGTGGCAAGGTTTCCACATTTTTTAATTCAAACCCGAATCCAAACTTCATTTTCTGCCGTTGAGAATTTGCCATTAAGAAGTCCTCATGCACAATTTGAATTTTATCTTGGAGGGTGGGGAAAATTCTGGATAATAGATGAATGTTTGTTACTATTTTTATTCTGTTTTCTGCCTGGATATAATGACAGTGATCCCAGATGCTATTTGTTTCCAGATGAAGTTCCTCTTAGTGTCAAGAAACCTGGATCAACTGCAGCTGTCTTTTAAACTTGCTCCCTGCAATCATGTTGGATTGTAATTCTGGAAATGTTCAGCCTGCACAGCCATGCTTGCTAAGCATTATGGGAGTTATAGTGTGGCACGTTTCGAGGATGCCCATTTGGTGAAATTGTCTATGTTGCTCAATAGTTGGAGGAATGATTAAACGATTAAATTAAACAATTAAAGGCCTGGAGACTAAAACATACAAAAACAGTTTCAGGAATTGGCTATGGCTAGTCTAGAGAAAGAAGGACTAGGGGAGACTTGATAGCAATGTATTAGAGGGGATGCCACAAAGAAGAGGGGGTCAACTTATTTTCCAAACCACCAGAAGGCAAGAAAAAAAGTAATAGATAGAAGCTTATCAAGGAGAGAAGCAGCCTACAACTAAGGAGAAATTTCCTGACAGTGAGAACAATTAATTAACAGAACATCTTGCCTTCAAAAATTATGAGTGTTCCATCATTGGAGGCTTTTAAGAGGACAGTTGTCAGGACGTGCACCTCCATTCAAATCATAAGTCTCTAGCCACATCTCTCTGAGTAAAAAAGATTGATTTATTAGGAGTTGACATGTCGGCGTTTCCCGGTTGTAGCTGACTCTGACACATTATTCATTTCACCCTTGACCCTGGTCTTCCCCCCACCCCCTGGGTGTCTATTCTCCAATGAGACACATCCATAGCCAAGAGTCATCCATCATGCTCACCAGTAATAATCTTGCCTGCCAGAAGCTTCGGTTGCCAAAGCAATTATCTGAAGCATTTAAGGAATGCACTGCTTTCCCCCCTCTCTTTCTGCTGACCACTAAAAAGACCAAAGAAGTATTTTTTAGTTGACAGCAGTCACTTGTCTGAAATGGTATAGGGGCTCCTGCTTGAGCAGGGGGTTGGACTAGAAGACCTCCAAGGTCCCTTCCAGCTCTATTTTGATTGAAGGTTGATTGAATTGCTAGGAAAAGTAGTCTTGCCAAATGTATTTCAAAAAATTAAAAGTTTGGCAATAGAGGGGCCCCTGGACTCCAAAAATGGGATGTAGATGTTTATTATTTTGGACTGAAATTTCACAAATTCATCTGATTTGGCTGCATTACACCAAAACCTTATGAGAATTGAATGCACAAGTGGTAAATCTCATATATTTTTCTTCCCCCTCCTTTTTTCCCCTTTTTTTCTGTAGTGTTTGTTCGCTGGGCATGTGTGCACTTAATTTGCAAAGGACATCCACAGCTAAAAAGATTGCTAACCATAATACATTTATGCCCTCTTGCTTTTTTTGCAAGAAAATGATATATGGTTCTTTCTGTGTACCCTTATTTTATCCACGCAATAGTCCTGTGAGGTTAGTCAGCACAAGAGGGAATGACTTACTTAGGATCACCAGCTCATTCTGGACAAGGGAAGACTGACATTTGACCTTCCTTAATCCTAATCTGTCATTCTACTGAACTGCCCCTTCTAATATAGCCAGTTTTGTTTAGCAAATGCTAAATCTGGCCAAGATTTTCAAAGCTTATCCCAAGAGCCAATTATAAATACACTGTCTTTAGATAGTAGTTTGCAACATCTTGGGTGGATTTGCAATGTGGTACAACTTTGTCATTGTTCTTCAAGTCATGGCTTAAGGCCAAAATAAATAAGGTTGAACACAGCTGAACTCTGCTTTCCTGGTCAGCAGCTTAATTTTTGAACCCACTATATTCATCATTTGCTCCCACAGAAGCCAGAAGAGAAGCAATGGGATGCCCTTGGTGAACTTTTCTTGTTAGATAATTCAGAAACTTGCTCTATTTCTGCCTGCATTTGAACCTTATTTCTAAAATCCTGATTTTGCAACTTGTGGTGAGAGGACAAGGCACAGTTGTAAGCGTAAGTGAAAAGTTTGCAGTTCTGACGTCAGCGCTCTATTGATCAAGAAGAGGTTTTCCTCCTCATGTGATCCAGCCTAGGAAAGATCTAATGTGCTACAGACCCCATAATCTCCTTAATGGGAGTCTTGTGAGCAATAGAATAGAAGGACAGATTCAAAAGAAGTGAGCCATCCTTCCTCATGGGCTGAAGGAGCAACAGTCATCCATACTCATCACCTGTTTACTGAATTTATTTATTTAATGGCTTTGTAGAGAATTTTAAAACATTAAAATAACCATACAGTAAAGTTTGGTCAATATGATAAGCCACAAAAAATGAAACATGTACGATGCTTAGATATGAACATACATGAAATAACAACAGTAGAATCCAACAAGAAATACTTCAACCTAGTTGAATATGTGGAATGCATCTGTAGATTGTATATGGAGATTCTCAGTCATGAACTGAAGAAGCTTCTTGGATGAGAAGTGAAATGTCTTCAAAGAAAACCCAGAAAGTCCAGTTGCCTCTTGAAAAAGCACCTTTGGGAACCTGTAGAATGATTTGATGGCAACTGTCAACCCTGAAATGAACCTGGCTGAGGCCATCTTTGAGGCCTCATGGTTGCCACAAGGCAGAGGGGCAGAAAGGGCAGGGGGAAACTCGGCTTTGCCATCAAAATAAAAAGGGTTTTTTGTGGGAACCAAGGTCATTTCAACAGGTGGCTGAGAAGAGGAGGAGTGGAGTAACCAGGCAACCTGCCAGCACCATTATTGGACAATGTGACTGATGACCTGGGGGGAAGGGGGAACTTTCAGTTTTTAATTAGGTCAGAACTGTGGGAACTTTCAGAGCTGGTTTTCACCAGTTGTGCCAATATGATGTATCCAATAAATTGTTCTTCGAAGAATCTACCTGCCTCGGAATTCTGCTTTCAATGGGTGCCTTACTTGGAACGCTGACATTAAGCTGACTCTTACAGATGAGCAATTTCATTCAAATGCAACGTTGCACAGGAGGAATTTTGCCATCATTCCACAGACGTAGTTGGAAGACAAGAATGTAGCAGTTAGTTGGAAGGACACCTATCCACAAAATTCTTGGTGATGGTGAAAGGACAGTTTTGCCATTGTTGTGTTTTGTTATTAAAGATTAGAAGAGATTCAGAAGTATGAAACAGCAGTTGTGAGCTATAAATGGAATGAGGACTAGGTGCAGGATATGGTTACAAAACCAAGTTGGCAGCTACAATGGTACGACCGAAGCTAAACCTGGCTTGTATGATGGTTTGGCTTGTTTTGAGCCGTCTCTTTCTGTTGATTACACTTGCAGCAGATAAAAAGATGATGCCTTCAGCGTCCACAACAGGAAACCAGCAGATCTACTCTCAAGGGAGCCCGTTTCAACCAGGACATTCTGGGAAATCTTTCAGGTACTGTGACTTATGGCAGAATGAATAAAGGCAGAGAATCAACACTTGGCATACATTGAGCAAGCATTCATGAATAGGATCTTTTGACCTCAGTGTTATTGGGGGAAAATTGGAGCTCAGAAATAGCCAGATTCAATATACAGTTATATCAATAGAAGAGAATATTTGTAGCTCAAGCTTGAACTGTGAGGTCCTTGGTGCTCTCTGAGCTTGGTTGTTTTCTTGCAGACATTTCATTATCCAACTAAGTAACACCATCAGTGCATTAATATTGTTTACTTCTTGGTTGTATTAATCTTGTGCTTGGTTGTATTAATCTTGTCTCTGATTATCTGGGTATTCTAGCACTAGTTGGGTAATGAAATGTCTGCAAGAAAACAACCAAGCTCAAAAAGCACCAAGGACCTTACAATTTCCTCCTCCTCCTCCTCCTCCTCCTCCTCCTCCTCTCCAGAAACCCTACTTCTTTCTAGCATACAGCATCTCAAATACAGTTATATCTGGACTGGTCCATGTAGAATGAAGGACTAGAGGTCAAGCAATCTTCTATCTTCCAAATCCCTTTTTCATTTCCTTCATTGCAGCTCATCTGTGGTCCATGTGCCAGGTGTCAACGACATCCAGTCCTCTTCATCAACAGGCCAGAACCTATCACAGATTTCTCGGCAGTTAAATCAAAGCCAAGTTGCCTGGACAGGAAGTCGCCCTCCATTCTCTGGACAGGTATGGCAACTAATTTCAAAAGGCTGGTTTTTACATCTATTTGGGGAAAGAGCAATTGTGTGTTGTATTTTGGGCTCTTATCATTTGGTTCACAAGAGGCATATTTGTAGGTACAGTGATAAGGAGGCTTCCTCTCCAAAGGATGCTTTGGAATATTCTTGAGTGAGGACATAGTTTCTGTCTCCAACACCTGAAAGTAGCATCCCATCAGGTTTGTGTCTGCTGCAAATTTGAGAAGCATTTCCTCTAACAATGGAACAGAGTAGAGTAGGGTAGGGTAGAGTAAAGTAGAGTAGAGCTGGAAGGGACCTTGGAGGTATTCTAGTCCAGCCCCTTGCAGCTCAAGCAGGGGAACCTATACCCATGATGGCGAACCTATAGAATGCATGCCACAGGTGGCACACGTAGCCATTTATGCGGGCACACGAGCCCCAGCCAAACTTATCTGCACTGTGCATGCGCGCACTTCCCAGCTGATTTTCAGCCCATTTGAGGCTGTTTTTGGCCTCCCTGAGGCTCGAGGGAAGCCTCTGCAGCCCCGGGAGGCTGAAAAATGGGCCTTCCTGAAATACCAGAAGTGCCTGTTTTCAGTCTCCGGAGCGCCTCTGGAGCTCGGGGGAGGCTGTTTTCGCCTTCCCAGGGGCTCAAGGAAAGTCTCTGCAACCTTTGGAGGCCAAAAAATGGGCCCGTTTCATCAGCACGGGGGTGGTGGTGTTGCATGCACATGCGCAGGATGGTGGGGCTCACTGCCTTCTGGGTACTGGTATGTGCAATTTTTGGCATGCGGGCCCAAAAAGGTTAGCTACCAATGACCTATACCATCTCAGACAAGTGACTGTCCAGTCTCTTTTTAAAAACCTCCAGTGATGGAGCGCCCATGATTTCTGAAGGCAAGCTGTTCAACTGGTTAATTGTCAGTTCCACAAGTTAATTTTCAGTTCCACCAGTTCCTTGAATTACAATAGCCAAGCAATAAAAATGAAAACAAATGACCTAATTAGCCTTGAAAAAAAGATGCTGATATTGTAATGCACAAGGCTGTCGGGGCTAAGCTTGGATCTCTGTCAGGTTGCTACATTGCTTTGTGAGAAATGTGGACAGATACATCATCTTTTGTTGTTGTTGTTTACTCTCCATTCAGCAAATCCCTTCACAAGCCAGCAAGGCACAATCATCCCCCTTTGCCATTGGATCCAGCCATACTTACCCTGCTGATCCAGCTTCCTTCAGCCCCCTTTCCAGTCCAGCTACGTCTTCTCCAAGTGGAAATGCCTATTCCAGCCTAGCTAACAGGACGACAGGCTTCGGTAGGTATGGAAGTTGCTCATAACTGCATTAGCGCATTAATGTACAGGTAGTCCTTGACTTACAACCACAATTGAGCCCAGAATTTCCTGTTCCTAAAAAAGACATTTGTGTTCTGACCAAGGCTTCTGAGACCGTAATTAAGCACACACTTAGTTAAAACAACTCTTGTTTCATTTCAACACTGGGAATTAAGTTCATTCCCAGCCTGTAATGAGTCCCAAACAGTCCCTCGAGATAAGCACCCACCTTTCTCTCCTTTGAATTGCTGCCAATAACTAAAGTGCCAAATTGACTGTAAAAAAACAACCGAAGTACAAAGTCCACACAGAGCTTCAAGGTTTAATCCAAACAGAGTGAATGACTTTACTTCCTGCAAAGGTTTCTTTACCTTTGCATGTCCTTTATACTTTATGGGAGGGCCAATCACCTCCCAGCCTTATTCCCGAGTCGCCCCTTTTGTCTCAGCTGCTCTTCTAGCAGCTCTGGGCACACATGCATTGGGAACAGGCTCCCCTGGGTCCTCTGCCTCTCTGCTGCCAGACTCCAGAGGCTCTGGAGTCGGCATGCCTCCCCCAGATGGTCCTGGCCCCATCTCTGTATTGGACGCAGGACCCTTGTCCGAGTCCTCCCCAGACTCCATGACTGGTCCCCATTCTTCCCCACTGTCCAATTCTGCTGCCGTCTGCACAGGCTGCCAGCAAACCACAACAATTTGTTAGGTTGAGTTTTGCCCTGTTTTACGATCTTTCTCACTGCCATTGTTAAGTGAGTAACACAGTTGTTTAAGCGAATCTAGCTTCCCCATTGACTCTGCTCGTCAGAAGGTTACAGAAGTTGATTACAGGACCCCGTCATAAATAGGAGTCAGTTGCCAAGCGCCTGGATTTTGATCACATGACCATGGGAGGCTGCAGTGGTTATTTTTTTACTCACTGTATTGAGAAAACTAGAGAAATTGTCAAAAAGAAATATAGCAAGATAGTATGCATCATAAAACTAGCAAGTATAATGGTCAGTTTGGTGTCGTGGTTAAAGATACCAGTCCAGAAACTGGGAGACTGTGAATTCTAGTCCCACCAGCTAGGTGACTTTGGGGTAGTTCCTCCCTCAGCTCTTAAGAGGAAGAAGGCAAAGCAATATTCTGAAAATATTGTCTAGGTGACTTTAAGACAGAGGGCTTCAACTGCCAAAATTCTCCATGCTGGCTGGGGAAGTTTGAGGGCTGAAATCCACATATCTTAAAGTTGCCAAGTTTGAAAAAAAAACACCCACTGGTCTAGAAGATTTGACCCCATGGCCCCTATCAAGGGTTATCTTTATTACTCTTGGCAGCTTTCATGACACTGGCTCTTGCAAGCCCTTTTTTCAGGAATAGAATACCGAACAGACTTTTCCAAAAGTGATGCTAGCCAAAATACAAGAGTTGAACTATCTGGGTGCATAAGGGCATTGTGACTGCAAAGGAAATAGACATAAGAATTCTGACTGGCTAATAGCCCAGTATTCTTCCAGGCAGATTCTTTATCATCTGACAATTTGCTCCTGTTTGCATTAAAAAAAAAATACCCCAGAAGATTAAAAAAAAAAAAGAAAGGAATTGAACAGGAATTGTTTTCAAAGGAATTGTTTTCAAGTCAGCAAATTGAAGCACTATCCCCAACCAAGGGGACTTGACTGAAAATTCAGAACAGGGTGTGAGTGGATATGGCAGAAAAAAAAGGTGAAGAGAGAACACATTAAACATCAAAGTGTACACAACCCAAAATGTCTGTGGTTTTCTTTCTTTCGGTTTCTTTTTTAAAAGTTCTGTAATGAATTATTCCAGCCCAAGGCAAGGAGAAAGGGAAAATAAAACTTGCTTCAACTGTTCCGGACACTGGATCTAATGTCTAGTGTGTGTTTTTTCAGGACACTGGTTCTTCTAATTCAAAAGTTACCAATAGGATTTGTTTTAAAAAGATCAGCATCAAACAATGTTTAGGTCTGCAAAAACATGCTGACAATTACACCATTGTTGGTATGATTAATATAATAATTAATATTAAAAAGTAGGCCTTTTGGACTACATTCACAAATAGAAAAGTTAGTGCAAGTTTCTAATTCTTACAAAGAATTTTAATGTTCTCCTTTGGGAAGAATGAACACAATTTGAGGAATAATCCTGGAAAGACTCTTCATTTTCTGGAGGGTTGGGGCAAAATGTCTCCTTTTGACTCTTGACAGACCTTTTTGTTCTGACCTTCACAAAATCACAAAGCAGACTCCTTGTCTGGACAAGTCCCCTTTTTATTAGGCTAATTTTTTTTAGGCAAAGTCCTGGCAAACAATCTTTCAAGAGTGATTTACAATCACAGACCTTATCAGGCTTGGAGAGTTGCCAGGCTGATAGCTTCCAAGCGCAATGCTGTAGCAGAAATTACTTGGCAAGGAGTCAGGAACAGATCTTCACCCTAATTAAATGAACTATTTGTCTCCTGCAAACACCACTCCCCTTTTGCTCCTCTTTATTCCCTATGGGAGGAGCCATTCACCATCTACCTGTGCCTTTACTTCCAAGTCGACCCTTGTTCCTTAACTGTTCCCTTCTCCTGGCAGCTCTGTGCATGCGCACATGGGGAACAGGCTCCAGCTGTTCTTCTTCCCCAATCATCTCTGACTCTGAAGGCAGCTGATAACTATTGGACGATCCTGGCCCCATCTCTGCCTCTGATGCAGAGCACTCGTCAGTGCCTTCCCCAGGCTCTGCTGACAGGCCACAACACTTTTTGTATGCATTTAGATAATATTTTAAAGAAGGAGCTTCTTTGCGGTATGCAGGAATATTCTGAGAAGTGACAGGAAAGAGATGGAAACCCTACCCTAAGAATAAAAGGTAAGTAATGAGTCTTACCACTATTCTGCAAAAACCTTGCTATTTCTTCAAACTGGATAACACTACATCTCTCATTGCTTAGAGTAAGGGAGACTTTTTTTCCTTGCACAGAAAAGCATAGAATGATGTCATGGAAGGTAAAACTCTATTGTTTATCACCGGTTGATTTTTTCACAAAACAAGGGCTTTGGAAGGAGGAAAGATTTAGGAAGGATAAGATATTCTGTCATATCTTGTACTAACAGATTCAATCCAACCCACAGGCATTTTAAGGTTCCCAGCGCTGGCGCTAATTCACCCACAGACAAAATGCTAGAATTATCATTTTGTTTCACAGAAAGGGGTGCTTCTAACAAGAATCATCACAATGAGGTTTTTATTTTTTTAGCTGAGAGCAGCCAAAGTAGTGGACAGTTTCAAGGGCGGCCTTCAGAGGTCTGGTCCCAGTGGCAAAGCCAGCACCATAACCAGCAGAACAGCGAGCAGCATCCTCACCAGCAAACCAGCCAGACAGAAGTGTTCCAGGTAAGTGAGAACCACCAAAAATGTTTGGGCACCATAGTTCTAGCTTTAGGGATGTCATGGTGAACTTATGGCATGCATGCCGGAAGTAACACGCAGAGCCATCTCTGCTGGCACACGAGCCATCGCCCTAGCTCAGTTCCATTGTGCATGCACGCACACGCATACCTCCCTCCAGCCAGCCAGCTGATTTTCAGGTATCTGCAGCGCATACATGGGGGCAGGGCACATGTGGGAAACATGCATCCATGCACAGGGAGTGGGGGGTCATGCATGCATGTGCAGGGGGTGGGGGAGCACGGGGAGAGCATGTCAGGGGGTCAGGGGGAGCACAGGAGGTTGAGCACACTTTTGGTACACGACAACAAAAAGGTTAGCCATCACTGCTTTAGGGATTCCATAGAGTCATTGAGTGGGAAGGAGTCCTAGAAACACTTACATCCAACTCCTGCTCACTGTTGGATTCCATGGTAAGACATCCATAACAACTGCCCATCCAGGCTCTGCTTGGAGACATCCAGAACAGGAGAACTCCTTAAATAGCAATTGCATTTAGACTTATGTACAATGCTTTACAGCCCTCTAAGTGGTTTACCCCCAACAATCTGGCTCCTCATTTTACCGACCTCGGAAGGATGGAAGGCAGAGTCAACCTTGAGCCTGGTGAGATTCGAACTGCCAAACTGCAGTCAGCCAGCAATCAGCAGAAGTAACCTGCAGTACTGCACTCTAACCACTGTGCCACCGTGGTTCTCAGAGGTTCTTAAAATGTTTGACTCAATTACCCCTTTTCCCGGTCTCAAATAATGTCATTACACCCCACAACAAAACCAAATTCTGCCTAGCAATGGCAAATACAAACTGGATTTCAACACACAACTAAGTAATTTCCATTTGCTCCATTCCCTCTTGGAAGTACTTACCCCAATTTCAAAAGCCACTAGCTAGATCCTGTTCTAGTAAAACTGCGTTTACTTTTAAGATGTTTTTCCTAAGTTCAACTATCAGTAGCAGGGCTATATTTTAAGACAACTATTCTTATCTTTCTTTCTCACCTGTTCTGATAATTTAAAAATGCTATCCATAGCATCTTTTCTCAAAGCTAAGTTTACTAACTTTTTCAATCTCTCCTTATACAGTAGGATTTAACTTACAGTCCCACAATCTTCATTATTATTGGTCCCTATCCATTTTAGATTCTCTGACAAATCCTTCTTAACATGAGGTGCCCAGCCAGTTTAGGGTGGAATTTTAGGTATTACTTTTTTGTGATTTGGAAAAGATTGCTCACCTCCTTCTCGAGATCCGTAGATTTAAAGGAGCAAGAACAGTAGGATAATCCAGTATGTATTTAAAACTAATTCATCGCTAGATTTGCAAAACTCAGAAGAGTGAAGGTTAAACTGAAGGCATAGTATCTTAGCACATACTAGAGATTGACAGAAAATGGGCTGCATAAGTACAGTGGAAAATGCATGCATGTAGTGTGAATGTATTTAAATTTATTGGTTGCCAACTCCAGTGGGCAGCATCGATTTAAAAGAAAAAACAGAAGTTCATGGCTGACTCATGGACAGCCTTGGGTAGCTGATGAAGGATACCAGGTACAGATACCCTTGGTCTTACTTTTATTTTGGAAACATTTCTTTGCTACTTGTTCTGCTCCTTTTTCAGTTGACTCCTTTGCAATGAAACAATGTGTTGGTCTTGAATTGCAGAAGTTTCAAAAGAGTATTTTTTTATCCCCGAGTTAAACCAAAATCACATTTTCTTTTGCTTTTTCATTCTTCTACAGGATATGCTACCTATTCCAGGGGATCCAACCCAAGGGACTGGCAATTACAACATAGAAGACTTTGCTGATTTGGGCATGTTTCCACCATTTTCTGAGTAAATTTATCTTGCCAGATAACCTGCTCTGGCACAGGGCTGGGGAAACCCTGCTGATGTAGCCTGGGCTCTGGTTTTTGTTTGTTCATTTGTTTATTGGTGTCAACATTATCATAGAAGCTCTTATGCAAGAAGCCTCCGTATTTTTTTTTATTTGAGATAACTTCCTCTCCTTCACCATGTTAACCAGGCAAGTTCTAATAATTTGCATTGTATTAGTCAGGACTCGTATAAGGGTTCAATTTGTACAGGTAATCCTTGACCCATGGCCACAATTGAGCTCAAAATTTCTGTTAACAAATAATCAGAGTTGGAAGGGACCTTATAGGTCATCTAGTCCAACCCCCTGCCCAAGCGGGAGACCCTGCACCATTTCTGACAAATGGCAGTCCAGTCTCTTCTTGAAAGCCTCCACTGATGAAGCGCCCACAACTTCCAAAGGCAACGTCTGTTCCACGGGTTGATTGTTCTCACTGTCAGAAAGTTTCTCCTTATTTCCAGGCTGAATCTCTCCTTGTTCAGTTTCCATCCATTCTTCCTTGTCTGGCCTTCAGGTTCATTGGAGAGTAGCTTGATCCCTTCCTCTCTGTGGCAGCCCCTTTTGTTAAGTGAGTCATTTGTTAAGTGTATTTTGCCCCATTTTACGACCTTTCTTGCCACAGTGGTTAAAGTGAATCCCTGCAGTTGATGCATCAGTAACACAGTTGTGAAGTGAATCTGGCTTCTCTCATTGACTTTGCTTGTCAGAAGTTTGTAAAAGGGGATCAAGTGATCCTGGGATGCTGCAACTGTCATAAGTCTGAACCAGTTGGCAAGCATCTGAATTTTGATCACGTGATCACAGGGATGCTGCAAAGGTCATAACTGTGAAAAATGGCCGTAAGCCTCTTTTTTCAATGCCGTTGCAACTTTGGTCACTAAATGAACTGTTGTAAGTTGAGGACTATCTGTATTTCATTCCCATTGGCAGAAGGGGTCAGGGTTGGATGGGTGAAGGAAAGGGGAGGAGCAAAAGGATGCGGGGGGCACTTTGTGATTTTCCCCCCAGAGCTCTTAACCTCAGAATGTGAATCGTTGCTAATTTCCCATTTCCACGAAAATTATCTTGCTCAAATATTAGGTGTGCCAGTCCTTCACTCACTATTCAAAACCCACCAGATTTCTCTAGAACTTGGAACAAAGGAGTTTTAATGAGTAATGCATAGCAGTCTTAGGTTGGGATGGATTAAAAGAAACACAGTTCAGTCTCCATAATTTGCTTCACTGGGGGAAAATCCTTAAATTGCTTGATATGAACTTGTTGATTTAGTCACTGCAGCCCAACCCTTTAAAAGGAACCTAACTAACAAGGGTGGCAAGAACCGACCTATTGTAATTCCAAACTAAAATTTTCCTGCATATAGATGTGCTGAATATATGGTAGCACTGACTACGCACAACACAAAGGTAGAATTATTATGGTTGTGGGTTTGTAACCAGATCTCAGCTCACGTTGCAACCAGGGTCAAAGAAGGTTGAATGTTTGTGATGCCTTTTTGTGTATGTGTGAGATGCCTTGAACACGTGGGAGTATCAGTTAAAATAGTAACAAGCAACAACTATACTAGCCATCCTGGATCACAAATGTTGTAATTTAGATCAAGAATGTCTAAGATGATAAAGTTTATAGGCTAGAATAGAGAATGGACAGTCTATCTATTCTTAGGATCTGCTCTAGATTGGAACTATAGGATTAAAAAAAAATATCAAAACCGAAACCCAAGCTGTTGTACCATATGACCTTACCTTCAGCATGATTATCTATGCTTCATTATGCTCTCTGCCACCTATTTATAAAGTTTTGTAATAATTAAAAAAAATACATAGAAAAGCATACCGCATAGAAACGTATACTGCATACACACACATGCAGTAATAGAAAAACATACAATGAAATGGCATTGCTTTGTGTTTAAGTAAAAAAGAATAGATCTGTGACACGCTAAGACGTTTTTTTAAATCAACTCTGATTTATATATATGTGTGTGTGTATGTGTGTGTATGTGTGTGTGTGTGTGTGTGTCCAGGCTGTGGGCAGAATTATCCTGTAATACTGCATTTATCCTGTAACCACTGCACCACAGGGCTTGAGTTAGTAACTCTTACTAACTTGAGCTCTTTCAAACTCTTTCAACCACCCTCCACCCCAAATTGGCACTAAATATAATGCATTCTGTATTGGAATTTCAAGGGAGCTAATGAAGATCAAGGACACTGAAAGAAATATATTGTGGATGTACTGCATAGAAATTATGTTAATATGATGTATATTACACACTGCAAAATCTACTTGTTCATAGCATTGTTTGGTGTCATGCTTGCAAGGCACCTTATTCAAATGAGATGTGCTTGTGACTACAAAGAAGGATTAAGCAGGAAGATTGTGACTTCTATGGCAGGGATCATTAAATGGCCAGTAAATTGTGAGATTGGGCCAGTGATGTTGTGGCTCACCCATTTTCTCGAGGAAAGTGTGCACGTGTGTGTTAATGCCTTCATTGTTTATCTTATAGTCATTCTAGGCCAGTTTGAATGTAAGGTTACATTCCTGTAATCTGGTGCTTTCTGGCAAAAATGTTTATGGTCTTTCTGACTCCATGTTAAATCCAGCTAAACTTGAATGTGTAGACATTTTTATACCATCTGTATAACTAGTATCATATGAAATCAGTTCTTTGTGTCTGTTTGTCTATCTCTCTGTTTGGGTTTGAGTTTGCTATAGAAATGGAAAGTCTGCAACAAAGGAAGCTGTTTGGACAGGGTGCATGATAGCATGGAATTTATAAAACAAATTTAAAGGGCAGTTGATCTAGGCTGAGATCTAGTAAGCCCTCCTCTTTGGAACAGGAGATATACATGTCACATGGTATGTGGTCTTAGAGAACAGATATTAATGACTGCATTAGTCCAGTTCATCCAATCTTCTCTTTTCTTTCTGTAAAGGAAGAACAATTACTGAGTCATTGTGGCTTTCTTTACACATTAATTTGCAGAATCCTTGATTGTCCAGAATTTAGCACCTTCCAAATGAGTTGAGGTACAGCCTCCTTCATCCTTGGCAGGTATGGTGGGACTTGTAGGTCTGTGTACCCAGGTTAAGAGAGAGACCATTACATACAATCAGCAATTAATGTATTGGTGGAATGTCACAAATTCAGATTGCAGCTGAGTTAGCACAATGTGTTTAAGCCATTGGTTTAAAAATGCATTATTCAATAGGCCACAGGTGGCTGAGTTCACACTTATTGCTGAGCCATAAGTCATGGTTTACAAACCAATGCTTGGGTTTACAAATTGCCTAGTTTGCTAAGCCTAGTTTGACATGTGCACTGAGTATTCTTAATGTTCAGTGCCTTGGCTATTCTCTGATGTGACACAGTCCAGCAGATTCGCAGTTGTAGACCCAGTATATCTGGAAGACTGAAGGAACAGCTTTTACATTCAAAAATAGTCTTAACTGCAAGCAAGAAAAAGTGGCTGAATCCACCAATCTTCTGAAACCAAGTTAACAAAAATAATTCCTGCATTTGCATAACATGCTATATCCAAAACAAACTCCATTGTGACTTAAGGTGATGCCTGTTTCTCACAAAATCCTGAATTACAGGTTACAATCAACTCCATTTTAGCCCATCCCAGCATATCCTGCAAACGTAACTAATATGAATATTAATGTCAAGACAAAGAATAAGTGAACAAGGGTAGAAGGAAACACTTCTGATATCTGGCTCTCACAATAGATACAGGAAACTATTTTCAGCAGTAACCCAAGTTGAGTGTAATAAGTAGTTCCAGCCTTTGGGCTGGTTTCACGAAGCTCGAAGCCATAAAATGGTTTGTTTGTATTTAGCTTAACGTGATGTTATTTGTGTGATGTATCTGTTCCCCCCCCCAAAAGACATCATGGGCTTTTTATGACAAACCATAATTTAAAATCTTACTTTCTTAAGATTATAAATTGTATCTTGTTTTAATCATGGCTTCAGTTTATACCTGAAGTAAAATTATTTCTGTGCTCTGCCCTGTTTTGTTTTACATATTGGCAAAAGAAATAGTGAGAATTGAGAATCCTGATTACTTCACTAGTTTATAAGATTCACTCTGCCTTGTTCTAACGTCTTCAAACCATAGTTTTTAAAAAGCCTAAATTAGTGTTATTAATATTAGTAAATTAGCTCAGTTTGTATAAAGCATTAAGCCTTAAGCAATGTTTTTTACGGTGTTTGAACAACATGGTTTAAAGTTATTGGCAAACCAAGCCAGTGTGGTATTTTGTTTGTTTGTTTTTCAACAAATCTGAGGTTAAAAATTCCGATTTTGTGTTATATGTGAATTCCACCGTTATTTTGGTCATCAGTGCCTATATACTGTATAATTTGGTTTCTTTTCCTGGTTAGAAAGCAACATATAGAATTACAAGCCAACCTTTTCAAAGTTCTGAATTCATTTTAGTCCAGCGTTAACAATACTGGTGGATCTTTTTTGTCCTTTGCTGGTGTGTATACATTTTTATATACACTATGCTTCTCACATCACCCTTCTTTTAAACGTTTGGCAGATGTGCAGTCTATATAATAGGTTATATAATATATAATAGATATTATATAGGCTATCTAACAGATATTTTGTTTAATCTTGGTGAGTTTGTTTGAGGGACAGCTAGAAAGAAGAAACTGACACCTTAGTTTTTCAGATGAAGGGAGGATAATAAATGACACTAAATGTGGATAGGTTTGGGATACCATTAAGATACTTTGCAATGACTACGGAGGACCAAATATATTACATTGATGATGATGTTATCCATTCAGTCATGTCTGACTCTGGGCGATTCTATGGAGCAGGTCTTTCCATATCTTCTGATCTTGCACTACTTCTCCGAGTTTTTCTGTGATCAGGCTGGTGTCGTCTTTGATGGTGATTTTATATTATCCATCTGCATCTCTTGCTTACCAATTGCATAGACACACAAGATATT